TATTGTATGATGTATCAATATTTTATTCATAAATGGGTTTTTGCTACATCCTGTGGAAACTGAGCTAGATAATGATAATAAATAAAATTAACAAAAACTGTAATACAGGGAGTCGTCACCTGCGCATGCGTCAGATGGCCATACCGTGTACTTGTTTACAAACAAGCGTCTACCCATGAGCCTTTGTGTCTTTAGCGTGTGTTGTTATCGTCGCTTGGGACTCAATTCCCGCGTGTGCGCAGGTGACGATCCTCCCGCTTTAAGAAAATAACATTTTAAAGATTTTCAGTTTTTGTGTGCTATTCCAAGCAAATATGGTATTTTTATAATATCGAATTACCTAGAAGGTCGCAATTAGTACCAGTCCAACCAGCATCACATGTACATGAATATCCAGTAGAGCCAGTAGTAAAACATACACCATTCACACATGGATTGTTTGTACAGCCTGTTGCAGCTACATGAACAAACAGTAAGAATAATTAATTAAACCTTGCAAAAAAGTATAGTGACATAATTGGCCATTGCTTACTGACTTCATAGTAAAATATACCTCACATTTGGGAGCAATCTCTATAATGTACATATATCCAGTCATTACTGGAGTTGTAATTACAAAGGTATTTTTGGTCACATGTCATCACCATAAATATCATAACATTTGGAAATGTGATTATGTTTGCTCCATGTGCAATAGTTGGCTGAAGCATGTCTGAGAAACAGGTGCGAACATATGCATGAACACATAAACAGACAAGCAAAGATGAAACTATATGAATGAACAGAAACTATATGAATGAACAGGGACTAAAAAGCATTTCACAGACTAAACATAGTATAGTGTACATCATGGTCAAAATGAGTTGAACAGTTAAGAGAAATATCATTGTTACCAAATTCACATTAACTTGTAAACACTTAAACACAGTTTTCTGTTGCCAACAACAGACAAACTATTTGCATGACAAACTTCTCTAGAGCAAATTCACATTTTATTAACATGTAAATATCAAGTCTACTGTATTAGCTATACAATGGTAGATTTTAATAAATGTGAGTTGCTTCTCTAGCTCTATCAACAAGGAACTTCTATGACATCAAAATATGGTTATATGCTGTAAAGTCATTATATATTGCAGCTCTCGAAAAAATATTATTTTTAGTAATTTGAGATGAACACAGATCAAAACAATATTGATGCTGTATTAAATTAACGATCCTTACACCCATTTAATGCACAGCTTTAAGGGTGTTATTATAAAAATGGTATATTATGGAAAATTTGATCTGATCTGATCTACTGGGCATGAGTCAACATTTCAAATTCCTAATGCATCTTTATACTCAATGTAAGAAAAGATGCATACTTTCATTTTTGATTAATGTATATCAAATTACCTAGAATGTCGCAATTAGTACCAGTCCAACCATTGTTACATGTACATGAATATCCAGTAGAGCCAACAGTAAAACACACACCATTCACACATGGATTGTTTGTACAGCCTGTTGCAACTACATAAACAAACAGTAATAGTAATTAATTAAACTTTACAAAAATGGAACATGGACATGGACTAAAACACATTTCACTAAACTAAACATACATTATCATGGTCGAAATGAGTCAAACAGTAAGGAGAAATAACAGTATTAATCAATTCATATTTACTTGTAAACACTTAAACACAGTTTTCTGTTGCCAGCAACAGACAAACTATTTGCCTGATAAACTTCTCTAGAGCGAATTCACATTTTATTAACATGTAAATATCAAATCGAATACTGCCTTACTTATACAATGGTGGATTTTAATAAATGCTTTACTAGTTCTATCAACAAGGCACTTCTATGACATCAAAATAAAGTTAGATGCTGTAATGTCATTATATATTGCAACTCTCTAAAAGAATACTATTTTTAGTAATTTGAGGTGAACACAGATCAAAACAATATTGATGCTGTATTAAAATAACGACCCACACACCCATCTAATGCACAGCTTTGAGGGCGTTATTATATAAATGGTATATTAGGAAAAATTTTGATCTGATCTGATCTGATCTTCTTTGTATCAGACTAAGTCAACATTTCAAATTTCAATAGCCTCTTTATACTCAGTGTTTGAAAATATACAAACTTTCATTTTTGATTAATGTATATCAAATTACCTAAGATGTCGCAATTAGTACCAGTCCAACCATTGTTACATGTACATGAATATCCAGTAGAGCCAGTAGTAAAACATACACCATTCACACATGGATTGTTTGTACAGCCTGTTGCAACTACATGAACAAACAGTAATAGTAATTAATGAAACAGATGCATGAACACATAGACAGATGCACATATATGAAACTCTCGGCTGCATTAGGTACATGTATACAATGGTGGATTTTAA